TGGAAGAAAATGCCAGAGAGGACCTACATTACTGAGGAGGAAAAGGGACTGCCAGGACACAAGCCTATGAAAGACAGGCTGACGCTCATGTTCTGTGCTAATGCTAGTGGGGATTTCAAAGTGAAGCTGTTATTAGTGTACCATTCTGAAAATCCCAGTGTTCAGGAAAAACAATGTTATGAAGAGTAAATTGTGCGTGTTTTGGAGATCTAATAATAAGGCATGGGTCACGAGGGAAATTTTCATCGAGTGGTTCAATGAAGTGTTTGGCCCTAGTGTGAAGAATTACCTCCTGGAAAAGAAATTGGATCTCAAGTGCCTCCTAATAATGGACAGTGCACCTGCTCATCCTCCAAACTTGGATGACCTAATTCTGCAGGAGTTTGGGTTCATCACAGTAAAGGTTTTGCCCCTGAATACCACTCCTCTCCTCCAGCCCATGGACCAGCAGGTCATTTCAAACTTTAAAAAACTCTACACGAAAGCAATATTTCAAAGGTGATTTAATGTGACCTCAGACACTCACTTGACAATAAGCGAGTTTTGGAAAAAACACTTCAGTATCCTCCATTGCATAAGCCTTATAGGTAAGGCTTGGGAGGGAGTGACTACCAGGACTTCGAACTCTGCTTGGAGAAAATTGTGGCCAGATTGTGTCCACAAGAGGAATTTTGAAGGGTTTGTAGCTGACCCTGATGAACCTATGTCAGTTGTGAACTCTATTGTGGCATTGGGGAGTTCCATGGGGTTGGATGTGAGTTTGGAGGATGTGGAAGAGTTGGTGGAGGACCACAACAAAGAGCTAACCACTGAGGAGCTGCAAGAGCTTCAGCAGGAACAGCAACAGATCGCAGCTCAGAATCTTGCTGCAGAGGAGGAGGAAGAGAGATGGAAGAAGGTGCCTTCTTCAGAAATTAAGGAGATTTTTGAAATGTGGGGTAGGATGGAAAGATTTATGGAGAAACATCACCCTGAGAAGGATGTTGCAAGCCATATTGGCAACTTGTACAGTGACAGAGTCTTGGCCCATTTTAGGGAAATTTTCAAGAGACGCCAGAAACAGAGCTCCCTGGACACTTTTTTTGCGAGACAGGACTCCAGTGACTCTCAAGCTGGTCCTAATGGCATTAAGAAACAGAGAAGAGAAGTAGCCCCAGAAAAGCAATTGGTACCTGAGGTGTTGCTGGAAGGGGATTCCCCTTCCAAACAGTAACTAATTCAATCTCTCTCCTCCTCCAGTCTTCCATACACTAAGAAGAATCGCCAATAAAGGTAAGTGTTATGCTGTTAATGTTTTATTCATCATGTCCCATTGTATTGTTTATGTACTACATCTATATTTCATGTAAAAAAAATTTTTGTTTTAATACTTCTGGGTGTCAGGAACGGATTAATTGTATTTACATTATTTCTTATGGGGAAAACTGATTCGAAAATCGTCTATTTTGATAATCGTCGCACTTCCAGGAATGGATTAACGACAATAAACAAGGGACCACTGTATTTTCATATGGTATTTAAGGTTGTATTTTCGGTTTTTTGGTCTCATTTAATAGAATGGAAGACATATTACAGAAATAGACATGGTTTTGATTGCTTTCACGACAAAAGGTACCTTAAAATTGCTCTCAAAGCAGCAGAAATGTTCCATTCTTTAGCGATGTTCAAGAGTAAACAAATGACGTCAGTCTAACACGTGTGCACCTGCCAGTCGAAATTCCAATACGCAGTCAAGAATGGGTTGACATTATACAATTATGACAATAATGCAGTAGTCTGCAAAACATGAAGTCTTCTATTTTTTGTGTGAATAAAAATTCCAAATGGTGAGCAAGAGTAATATAAGAGGGGCCTGGAGCCATGACTAATAAACAGAGAAAATGTTATTTTAGTGCCAGGAATGTCTGCATTGTTTATTCTGGACCCTATTTTGAAATTGGCATCTGTTGAAATTTGTGTGAAATTGGCCAAATTGCCAATTTCTGACCATTTTATTGGGTAGATGAAATAAGTGAATGGTCGGTTTCTTGTACTCAGTCAACAGAATAGAAGTACAGTAAGTAAATAAGTAAACTTATTCAGGTATATGTACACAAATACAGTTACATAGATTATCATACATAGAAGCATATGTATAGAGAACCAGTACCTGGCTTGGGCTTGACATATATGATTTTTGGTAAATATTTTTTTTCCTCAGTTGTTTGTTGGGCTACCTTATTGAAACTTGGGCAATGTATGATGGAAAGATGCTTCTTAACGTACACCAAAAATGAAAAAAAAAAAAGGACAATAAATAAAGGAGTTCACGTCTCAGCCATTAGCTGCCTCTTTGTGGTATATATTTTCCTATGTTTTTATGGTTGTATTCTCGTTTTTTTGGTCTCATTTGATAGAATGGAAGACATATTACAGAAATAGATATGATTTTGATTGGTTTCACGATGAAAAGTACAGTGGACCTTCAGGTAACGATTTTAATCCGTTCCAGAGAGCTTGTCCTTAACCGATTTTATTGTTAGCCGAATTAATTTTCCCCATAAGAAATAATGGAAATCCAATTAATCCGTTCCAGATACCCAAAAGTATTAAAAAAAAAATTTTTACATGAAATATACAATTTCCTACACAGAAAACAATGAAACATGAAGAATACACCTGCCATCCGACTTACGACCTGCTCGGCATAAAACCACTTGACTTACGACCGTGTTTTTTATGCCAAATTTCTGGGAAATAAACAACTGTTTGTGTTGTACACAGTGTTTATCCTAAACCTTACAGTATAAAATACAGTACTAAGGGCAATCTTGCACTAATTGCCACCAGAGATGTTCATAAAGCTTTTGACAGCTTATGGCATGATGGTCTTATATACAAACTTATTGACCTACCAGACCATAACTGGACCTTTCTCAGATTAATATATAACTTCTTAACTCAAAGAAAAATCATTCCCACCTTTCACGGCAGGTCGGCAGAGCCTTTTATACCAACAGCTGGTGTCCCACAAGGTTCTTGTCTTAGTCCAATTCTATTCAACATTTATGTGAATAACCTTCCTCAACCAGAGTTTAATGATACAATTATAACGCAATTTGCAGATGATGTTATCCATGTCGTCTCATCAACTCCGGTAACAGGAAAATACAAGTATGAGAGAGTCATAGAAAAAATGAATATTGAACTTCGTCGAGCATCTAATTGGGAAAAGAAATGGAGAATTACAACTAACCCTGACAAAGTCCTTGCTAGCACGATAGGATGTTTTGCATCAACCATCGAAGATAAAGGGGGTATCTCCATCAGAGGTACACCTGTAGCCATTAGAAACCCTAACAAGATCTTGGGATTTGAAATAGACAGGCTGCTCCACTCAACTTCTCATGTAAATAAAAAGATCAACATAGCCAAAGCCGGTCTTAACAGTCTCTTTAGATTTAATCAAGCCCCTCCACATGTCAAAAAACATCTGTATAAAATGATAATAAGACCTATACTCGAATACCCATGTGTCCCAATGTCATTAACAACAAAGACCAACATGCTACAGTTGCAACGGGTCCAGAATAGAGCTCTCTGCTTCATTACGGGCACCAAGAGGAGAGACAGAGTTAAAATGGCAGATTTACATGTACAACAAGATATAACTGCCTTAAATGTACGCCTTGACACCCTGAAGAAGAAACAACTCTATGCAATTCAAGAACTCTACATGCCAGATAGAGAACATCCTCTCCAAGTTGAAAATACCATGGATTATATCATCAATACTCCTCCTCACAGGACTCAAAGAATGACTCTCCCACAGAGGGTCCTTTGTTTTATCCATAAAGATGATTACCATCGACCAATGATGTTGAGCAACCTCCCTGCAAATGAAGATGATTGGGTAACACCAGAACCCTTCTATGTTTACTAAGAAAATCATTGCCCCCAATTAGGGAGACCTCTTGTATAATATTCTACTGTTAAAATTATGCTACATTTACTATGGCAGGACACCACCTTGTAAGAAGCTATTGTGTCAAATAATTCTTTATAAACTGGCCAGAAAATTATTGCCCTCATTGTCATTTAAATATCCATTGTGCAATCGCACAATCGCAAAAAAAAAAAAAAAAAAAAAAAAAAAAAAAAAAGCAATTGCAACTTGTATATTTACTACCAATTCAGAGTCATGTACTTATATATCTGTTATATCTAAGCGACTCTGATGGGTTAGTATTATACCCCTTCAAGAATATATTAGGAATAAGTATGTATATATATTGAGGGTTCTTTCACCAATGCACTGGTGTAAGTCTGTTTAGGCACAGGTCCACACAAGTACAATTATCATGCACAGAAATATATGTGTAAATTACCTAGAACAAACCAAAAATAGTCAAAGTGACTATTTCTATTGAGATCTTTGACTTATTTCCATTGGTGCAGCTGGTAGTATTCCTGCTGTCCTACATAACGGCGCTAATAGATAAATTGGAGCACGCATCAATAACTAGGTTTCTATCCTTCAAACTGAACTAGAAAATGTATCTTGTGGTTCTGAAGGCAACACTCTCGCTTCACACACCGAGTGTCTGTGGTTCAGTCGCTGGCCGGGTAGAAACACTGGGTGTGTTTCCTTACACCTGCTGCCCCTGTTCACCTAGTACTGTAGTTAGGTACCTGGGTGTTAGTCGACTGGTGTGGGTCGCATTCTGGGGAATGATTGAAGAACCACAATGGAAATAAGACAGGAAGAGACAATCCTGATGACGCACTGACTTTATTGGGTTATCCTGGGTGGCTAATCCTTCTGGTTAAAACTCCGAACAAATCTTACCTTATCTTACATTATCCTTGCCACGACTGGCACTTCCGTGGTGCACAACCTGAGACCCAGGTAACAATTACATTAAGTATTCTCATATGTTTTAATGTGTCATTATCAAAACCTATTGCTAAACACGTCTATACCAAATGCACATTGTAGCTGTATGTGTATGATGACATACCTTGAACTTGTAGTGATGTATCAGGTGCACGAAAAATGTTTGTAGCCACAGTTGTAAACAAACTTGTTACAGTGTTGCCATACACCTGGAAATCACCGCTAACAATGGGGGTAATATTATTTCTGTTTAACATGAGATATTCTTGAGTACTTTGATAATGTCATTCAAATTTCTGAAATATATAAAATTAAGGAAAGTATTTAGTTTACTCATAAAGAATGTATATATATATATGTATATATATAGAAATAACAGTAAAAAATAAAATGATGATGTGAATTTCAACATTAAATGAAACTAGATATGGAAGCTACATGATTTGTAAGAACAGATTTAAAATGGTCAAAATATTTTCTGAATATTAACAATATTACTAACATCGAAGAGCAAATTTACAAGAAATTGCCTATGGTTAAAAAGTGCTACATAACAGCGATATTTGCTACACTTAAATCTTTCAAAGATTGTGCATTTTCTTACAAGTTATCGTATATAATAAAACATTTTTAAAAATATATCAGAATGTATATAAACAATGTTTGTTATATTTATTCTTGAAATTACACAAAAGATTCATTATATAATCTCCCTAGTTTCTTTTTTTTCCGAAACAATGATTATATTTCATTACCTCAATAAATGTATTGACAGTAGTTTTTTGGTCTTTAAAATCTGATATTATTAATTATTATTATTATCATTATTATTATTATTATTAAGATAAGATAAGATAAGATTTCGTTCGGATTTTTAACCCCGGAGGGTTAGCCACCCAGGATAACCCAAGAAAGTCAGTGCGTCATCGAGGACTGTCTAACTTATTTCCATTGGGGTCCTTAATCTTGTCCCTCAGGATGCGACCCACACCAGTCGACTAACACCCAGGTACCTATTTGCTGCTAGGTGAACAGGACAACAGGTGTAAGGAAACGTGTCGAAATGTTTCCACCCGCCGGGAATCGAACCCGGGCCCTCCGTGTGTGAAGCGGGAGCTTTAGCCACCAGGCCACCGGGCCACATCATTGTTGTTGTTGTTGTTGTTATTATTATTATTATTATTATTATTATTATTATATTATTATTATTATTATTATTATTATTATTATTATTATTATAAGCAGTAGGCTTACAGGACCTTACTGAATTATTATTTGGAAGTAATTTGGGTGAGGTAAGTGGGACTTAAAGTCACAGCAGGTCGCTGAACTGTTACTCCCTCGTTGCCCACTCCCTACCACTCAAGCAAAACGCTAGACCTGACATTAAATTAATAATTATAATATTAAAACTAGCTACTCTGGTATAAATTCAAGTTGTGGACTGTATAGGATTAGGCTTTCCGGGTACACACAATATAATTAGTATTAACACTTACCATGTAATTACTGTAGATGGATCACACCACAATACCTGCCTAACACCTAGCCCCTACACTTGCCAGCTAGAGATCTAAATGCAAGGACTAATGGTGCACTTCCTTGTGAGTGATGTTCGCATCCCTTATCCACCATCCACACGCAAGTCTTGAGGTCCCACAAATTTCCTGTCCCAGTTCTTCAGCAGCAGACATTAACATGGGTTCCCAATTACAAAGTCGGGCCGAAAACCCCCAATTGCCCTTTGAGAATGCCTGACACATTGCAAAATTTTGTCCCGTGTTCACACATTAAATTTAATATATCTCTCCCTGGCATCACTCCACAGTTCTTCTACACCTCCCCCCCTCACGAAATTTCTCGAAGGGTCCAAATAGCATCACATTTTAATACACAATTATCATATTATTCATTTATATGTTCTACATTTAGGAAATTATGTAAAAATTTTCCACAGATATTATCCTAACACCACAAGACTTCGAAAAGGCAATAAATGACATGCCCATGTACTCTGTCTGCCCCAGGCTCGGACTCATGGAACTCAATGCTCATCAAGAACTGCAAGAAGCCCCTGTCACGTGCCTTCAGCAGTCTGTGGAGAGGGAGCATGGACACAGGGGTCATCCCACACTCACTAAAAACAACAGACATAGCCCCTCTACAGAAGTAAAGCAATTGCAAAGAGCTACAGACCGATACCACTAACATCCATGTCATAAAAATCTTTGAAAGGGTTCTAAGAAGCAATATCGCCAACCACCTAGATATCCGTCAGTTACACAACCCAGGGCAACACGGGTTTCGAGCAGGTTGCTCCTGCCTGTCCCAGCTACTGGACCACTATGACGTGGTCCTGGATGCTATTGAGGATAAACGAAGTGCAGATGTAGTATACACAGACTTTGCAAAAGCCTTCGTCAAGTGTGACCATGGTGTAATAGCACACAAAATGCCTGATAAAGGAATAACAGGAAAAATTGGTAGATGGATCTATAACTTCCTAACAAATAGAACACCAAGAATAATAGTAAACAGAGTAAAGTCCGAGGCAGCTACGGTGAAAAGCTCTGTTCCACAAGGCACAGTACTCGCTCCAATCCTATTTCTCATCCTCATATCTGACACAGACAGAGATATAGCTCCACATCTTCCTTTGCGGATGACACCCGAATTGCCATGATAGTGTCCTCCAACGAAGACACCTCAAGACTCCTAGTGGACATCAACCAAATCTTTAAATGGCCCACTCAAAACAATATGAAGTTCAATAAAGAGAAATTTCAACTACTCATACATGGAAAACTTGAGGAAATTAAAACTATATCAGGGTATACAACAAATTCTAACCATACAATAGAGCGAAAAAGTAATGTGAAGGACCTGGGAGTGATAATGTCAGAAGATCTCGCCTTCAAAGACCACAGCAATGTATCTATCGCATCTGCTAGAAAAATGATAGGATAGATAACGAGAATCTTCAAAACTAGGGACGCCAAGCCCATGATAATTCTCTTCAAATTGCTTGCTCTCTGTAGGTTGGAATACTGCTGTACACTAACTGCCCCCTTCAAGGCAGGCGAAATTGCTGACCTGGAGAGTGTACAAAGAACTTTCACGGTACACATAAGTACGATAAGGCGCCTAAATTACTGGGAATGGTTGAAGTATCTTTATTTGTATTTCCTGGAATGCGGGCGAGAGAGATACATGATAATATACACTTGGAAAATCCTAGAGGGATTCGTACCAAACTTGCACACGAAACTCGCTCCTTGTGAAAGCAAAAGACTCGGCAGTAAATGCAACATTCCCCCAATGAAAAGCAGGGGCGCCACGAGTACACTGAGAGACAACTCAGTAAGTGTCAGGGGCCCAAGACTGTTCAACTGCCTCCTAGTATACATAAGCGGATTACCAATAGACCCCTGGCTGTCTTCAAGAAGGCACTGGACAGATACCTAAAGTCAGTACCTGACCAGCCGGGCTTGGTTCGTACGTCAGTCTGCGTGCGGCCATCAGTAACAGCCTGGTTGATCAGACCCTGAGCCACCACGAGGCCTGGTGTAAGACCGGGCCGCGGGGGCGTCGACCCCCAAACCCTCTCCAGGCATACTCCAGGTAAGGCCTACTTTTAATGGAAAGTAATCTCCCTCTCTCCTACACACCCTAACCTAAGCCTCATTATCCTCATAAAACCTCTTTACAGCATTTAGTAACTTACTACATATTCCGTACACTTGCAACATCTGCCATATTGCTCCCCTAGTCACCCTATCTTATGCCTTTTCTAAATCCATAAACGCAACGAAAACTTCCCTACCTTTATCTTAATATTGTTCTCTTATATGCCTCAATATAAACACTTGATCTACACGTTCCCTACCCATTCTAAAACCTTGTTCATCTGCGATCCTCCCCTCTGTCATACCTGTAATTCTCTCAATAAAACCCTACTATACACTTTACCTGGTATACTCAATAAACTTATTCCCCTATATTTTTTACATTATCTTTTGTCTCCCTTCCCTTTATATAAAGGAACTAAACACTTTCCACCAGTCCCTAGGTACCTTCCCTCTTTCATACATTTACTGAAGAAAGTACCAGCCACTCCAAAACTATATTCCTACCAGCTTTTAACATTTTTGTCATGGTTCCATCAGTTCCACCTGCCTTACCCATTTTCATTCTACCCAGTGCCTCACGCACCTCCCCTACCCTCACATCCCACTCCTCATCACTCCTAAAAGATGGTATACGTCTCTGGCCAATTCATGAAATTATTGCCTCCCTCTCTTCATCAACATTTAAGTTCCTTAAAATATTCCCAACATCTTCCCAATATCTCCAGCTTCCCATCTACTAATTCCCCTATACTTGAAGTATACCCGGAGAAGGTTTCGGGGGTCAGTGCCCCCGCGGCCTGGTCCGTGACCAGGTCTCATGGTGGACCAGGGCCTGATCAACCAGGCTGTTACTGTTGGCCGCACGTAAACCGACATAAGAACCACAGCCCGGCTGGTCAGGTACTGACTTTAGGTGCCTGTCCAGTGCCTTCTTGAAGACAGCCAGGACAGCCAGGGGTCTATTGGTAATCTCCTTTATGTATGCTGGGAGGCAGTTCAAGAGTCTTAGGCCCCTGACACTCATTGTGTTGTCTCTTAGCGTGCTCGTGACTCCCTTGCTTTTCAATGATGTCGCACCTCCTGCCGAGCCTTTTGCTTTCGTTGGGAGAGTTTTTTGTGTGCAAATTTGGAAGTAATCCCTCTAGAATTTTCCAAGTGTATATAATCATGTATCTCTCTCACCTGCGTTCCAAGGGTAACAAGTCAAGGAACTTCAACCGTTCCCAGTAATTTAGGTGTTTTATCGTACTTATGTGAGCCGTGAAGGTTCTCTCTACATTCTCTAGGTCAGAAATTGCATCTGCATTGAAAGGTGCTGCTAGTGTACTACTGTATTCCATCCTATCCACTTGTTCCCTAGGCTTTCTTAACCTATTTATCTCACTCCATTTTTTTTTCTTATTTTCAGTAAAATTTGTTGAGAGCACCTCGCTCACTTTATCATTTACTATCCTTTTACACTCCCTCGTACTCTCTTCACCTCTCTTTTACTCTCCATATACTCCATCCTTATATCACTTCTGCTTTGTAAAAATCTATCATAAGCGACCTTATAAGGTCCTAGGCCGAAGCC